CAACTATGTTAATTTTTCTTCTTCTGATTTAATCAAATTCTGATTATAATATTATCCAAGTTATTTTTTGTGGTCTTGACTGATTTGTAGTTTTACCTGAGAATATTACACATTTTGATAAGTCTCAAGATATTTGCCTCTGAAAAATTAACATTTATCTGTAATTATAAATCATACACCTGGCCCGTGTCTAGTATTTCCGTGGAATTTCAATTCAGTTGACAGTACTAGGACCTTGGTAAGTTATATATAATGTATGAAAAACATTATATAAACAAACTGTTCAAATAAATCAAAGATTACAACTGGAGAACGATTCAAACATCAATAGTATTTATTACATTAAACATTTTTAGAGAATGCCTTTCAAAAGAAATAGTTTCTAATTTTTTTAATGTTATAGACCATTTGTGTTTAGTATATTTGGGTAACATTTATACAACTTTAACAAGTATATATATAATTATAAAGAACATAAAAACAGAGTTTTTACAGTCTAATAGTTTGAGAAGCTGGGAATAAATAAATTGATAGGATAATCAGAACAACGAAGAGATTGGAAAATAGAAAACTTAAGAGCATAACAAGTTAAATAGTCTTAAAAGTTTTTCATATTTAGAAATAAACCTAGCTGCTTCAAGAGTAACCTTAGTTGCTATTATTCTAAACACAGCAGCTGGGAATGATCTTACAAATAATAACTAACAGGTAGTCCAAAAATTTAAGTACTGATGAGCTAGAATCACCTGTCACTTGATTTGGAGGATCAGTTACAAGACTGATCTGTCTTCAAGCTCGATGAAGCAATCTGAATAAAGCTTTTGTGCCAGAAAAATGAAATATTGATCGATAATTTTATTTAGTGTTAATTGCAGTGAGTGTTTGCCAAAAGCTGTCAGAAATGATTCTTGAAATACTGGGCACACGGTGGTCCATAATTTCACGATCATGAATACTGAGAACCTTCTAATATGATAATTTTATATTATTCATATATATTTATATATATAATTTGTGATAATAGTTTTTTTAAATTCATCATTATTATTATTGTTTTTACTTTTATTATTAATTATCATTATTGTTTTATGTCATCAATATTCAAATTTTAGGATTGCCAGATATTTAATATTTCAAAGATCATCTTAGGCTGCTGTGTTCTAAAATTAGCAATATTAGAGGAGTTCAGGGCTATGGAAAACTACAACAGAGGGGGATTAGGATGCATTTTCTGTAAGGTATTAACTGCAGCCTATTGAAACTTAAAGACATAAAAACTGATAGACTAGAGTTTCAATTTATATCAGTTATAACTGGGGGTTTTTTAAATGAAAAGTTTTTATGGGACAGTTGTTGTGAGATACTTGATTAGAAAAATGTCAGTGGGAAATTATATAATATAACATAATGTTTTGGGACAATATAGGGCCTAATGGTCCATCTTGGCTGTTACATCCTCTAAACTAAAACTATTAACAGATAAATTTTGAAAAAATCTTAAAGCCAGCCCCTATCATTCATATACTTATCTAGTTTTCTCTTATGCTCACTTAAATTTTACTAGCCTCCACAACATCCGAAAGGCAATCCATTCCAAAGGCCAACCACCCTAGAAAAGTAAAACTATACTTAGCTGAAGATGACTCCTTCCCTGCCAAAATTTATATTTGTATCCTATAGTCTTACTACTCTCGCCGTTAAGTATGAAAAAGATGATGTATCAACAATATAAATTCCCTTTACAATCTTAAACACCTCAATCAGATCCCTTCTAACTTTTAGTTTTTCAAGAGAAAACAATTTGAGAGATCTCAACCTCTTGTTA